GCATTCATAGACATTCTGAACTCTATTGGGGTTAGACAACACGTCTCAGGACCTACTCATTGTCGAAATCATACTTTAGATTTAATACTGTCACATGGAATTGATGTTAACGGTGTTGAAATTCTGCAGCAAAGCGATGACATCTCAGATCATTACCTAGTCTTGTGTAAACTCCAGATAGCTAAAACTGTCAATTCTATCCCTTGTTACAAGTATGGTAGAACTAGGCATGGGCCGATTACCCATTTCAAGGTATACCGCGATTTGAAAATGTCACGGTTTCAAAACCGCTAATATTTTCCGTTATACCATTCCTGCGGTATGCGCTGTTTTTCATGTCTCCTCAAAGACTGAAAGTGTAGGAATCCCTCAGGTTGAGTGCAGTGTAGAGAGTAACACAACCCTCCTCCTCCTGTTGGTGCGAGTGAGCAGTCAGTCACGTGTGTGTATGACGGCCGAAGGAGCTTTCCCTGGAACTTACGCGATCAGCAACCGGCCGTTTATTGTTTTATTGCAGCCGATCTCTGTTCTGGACTTGCACAAACTGCGTTGCAATGCATATCATTTTCCAAATGTCATTTATGTGAAAATATGAAGTCTGTAAACACCCGTTAACAGAGGCCAGAGACGCTGAAGACCGACGCACAGAGAAAAATACTGTAGCAGGCAGATCACTCACTGTTCATGATGCACGAACTATTGGAAGAAAATCCTAAATTCTTTTCTAGCATTTTAGATACGGTTGCTCCTTTACGCTTAAGGAACACTAAGGAAAACAGTTTTGCACCGTGGTATAACGAGCACACTCGCGCCCTAAGAGAGCAGCCCGGAAAATGGAGCGCAGCTGGAGGAAAACAAAAATAGAGGTATTTCATGTTGCATGGCGGGAAAGTACCCCATCCTACAGAAAAGCATTAAAACTGCTAGATCTGATTACTTTTAGTCTCTTTTAGAAGAAAATAGTGCTGGGCGGTATGACCAAAAATGTATATCACGGTATTTTTCAAAATTATACCGGTT